AGCTGGGTGCGGGCAAGGTGGTGGCAAGCCGTTAACCCACCTGTCACATCGCTACACATCAGCTGTCCCCACGCTGACGTTGGTCTCGAAGACGTATTTGAAGAACCGCTGGAGTTGTATTTGATCGAGTCGGCTAACGGAGCCAAGCCGACAAGAGCATAGCTGTGTCCAAGCATTTTGCGCCCCCAATCGACGGACTTTGTGAAGTCCAAATCCAAAGGCAAAATCACAAAGTTAATTTGCCCCAGTGGCTGGGGCCCACTTGAGCCTAAGCCTAATCAGTCAATCGCTACACACAGCAAATCATCTAAGTAACCAATCGAAATGCACACACACACTACCCAAGAGAATTGAAACCTTGGAAGATTTCTGGGGGTTTTGCAAATGGCAAATTCACAACAATCCCCCCCAAAGAGTTCTGCACACCCAAGGTATCATCCATCGCATTGACTTGTGGATTCGTGATCTTGGATCGCATGTAGCGCTTGAAGGCGGCCGGGATGTCTTGTCTTCAAGCAAGTTGGCCGCCGGCTCCCACGAGTTTTCAATTTCTTGAAGGCAGCGCCACTTCACCAAGATCTCAAACGCGACCGAACGATCTTTGTAACGACAGTCGATAAAATCATCGACCACATGTTCGTCCGCGTTGAGCGCCACGTGTTGCAAAAGTTCTTCAGTCACTTCGAGGCCGTTGTAGCCGACTGCTGTAGGCCTCACGGACAATTCCCGTGACCACATTCGTGATTTTAAAAAATCCAGGCAGACGTTGCCCTGACCACTTGAGCTGTCCACGCCAAGTTACACTCAATTTCGAGTGTGAAATCGACCACACGTCCATGTAAAGTACAAAGTCGCCCACATCGATTTGGGCCATTTCCACGTCTGTTTTCTTCGCTTTTCTTGCACGATTCTTCGGACACTTTTTGGTAGCAGCGTCTACTACAAAATCGTAAATACTATCAAGAGAGATTACCAACGACTGCAACGCCGCATGCTTCAATGACCACAGATCGTCCAAGGTTGTGACCCTTCCCGTCGAATCGATTGGAATCAAATCCAACGGCGACATCGACGGGCGGCCGGTCATGGCCGTTATCGGAGCCACACCTCCGAGAGTATCGGAGGGACTTTGGTTCAAAACAAGCATCACCACCGGCACAATCAAACGCCACTGGTTGAGTTGCATCAATCATTCCGAAAAAAGAGCTCGGAACGCCTTGAGGGTTGTTTTCATCGCGCTTTCCACCGTTCCCGGGACATCTCGTGGTGATGATCTCCCAGGACATGTTGGAGCTCGGCGATCACTTGGTTCTTGAAATGCGATCCCTGATCGCTGATCCAATAATAGCACACACCATAGACAGTGAACCTGTGTAGCAAACAGCTAGCAACAACTTACGCGTTGGCCACCTCAGTTTCCCACAACCACTTGAACTGACTGAAGTTGTCCTTGGCCACAAGGAGATAACCACCGTCCATGTAGAGAAAATCCCAATGAAGGATCTCATTGGGCAATGTTGCGTGTGGAGTAGCACCAAAAGGAGGCAACACGTGGCCACCGGTGCTAGCACAATGCAAACACTTGGAAACAAAATAGGCCACGTCTGAAGCCAAATCGGACCACCAGAAACAATCTAACAAGATCTGCTCCGTCGCGTTCATACCACGATGTCCACCCACACCAAAATGAGCCACCACACACAAAAGCATCTGGAGCTCGCTCACAACCGCCGGAATCCACACCGCGCCCGCCGCGGTCTTCAACAACGTCGCAAGGTTGCTGTCCACGTCAACCTGGTGCTACTCGAGTTCCACCACAGGGAATTCGCCGTTTCCCGCGCCCAGAATTGCCCAGAATTTGTGCATCGACAATCTCGCCCATGGTTGGCCAAATAAAGTCGCCATTTCGCAACGGCGAAATCTTCATCGGCACGCGCACGATCGGGCAAATAAGATGGTATGTCGCACCCCATCTCGACAACAAATCGACCCACAAATTGACATCCCCAGCGATGTCGTAAATGGTGTAATCGTACCCCATCACCAACAACGCCTAGCGGTCCAGTTTCGCCGCCGTGTACTTTGGGATCGCGGCATTCACGCTGGCTGAGTTGAAAGTAAAATGAGGTTTGCGTGGTCGGTGAACAACGCAAACGCGCCTGGCTTGTGAAGCAGGTAATTGGCCCGCTTTAAGCACTCCACAATCGAGAACGCCTCTTTCTCGACGATTGCCCATCGTTGCGCAGCGCCAGAAAATGTGCCGCTCAGAAACATAAGCGACTCATGGTCTTGAGAGTCCAACTCACGATCCACTTGATCGTACGGAATTTGCGTAACCACGCCGCCCCAGTGTATATCCCTGGCGTCCGCAAACATACAAATAAGGGGGTCGGCCTTCGGATGTGCCAACCTCATCAAGGCCAAGGGCTTTTTTGCAGCTAGTAAGGCACGCTTCACGGCTAGTGTTCCAGCCTACATCAGCCAATACACCTTTGACCACCTTTTGGCAAGTTCGGCAAAAGGTGTGCCACCGGCCGACTTGTACACCGCCTCCAATAAATCGGTAATTGGTTGTACTACCACGTTGTAGCGTGGTATAGACATGCGCATCCAATTCTTGGCGCACACGAATTGTTGCACGTCCTGGCCAGTCACCGGTATCTTGAGATCTTGTAGCACCTTGATGCGCTCGGGGTCATGCTTAACACCATCGGCCGACAAAATCCGACCGCACAAACGCGCCTCGGTCTGAAAGAACCGACACTTCTTGGGATTGAGCTTGAGTCCTCGCGACTCACAGATCACTAGAACGTGTTTGAGCCGTCAAGTGGCCTTACTTGGACTTCTCGTATCCAAGCAGACCATCCAACCAGATCAAAAGCGATCGATACAGCTCGCTTTCAAACATCTCTCCCTCCGCAGCCTGACAGAAGGCCGCGCTGTCGGTGCTGCCCATGAGAACACGCGCCGGTGTGTACACACCCATGTCCGTAAGGAGAGAGAACATTTCCTGCGACCCCACATCCAACGCAAACTGCCAATGACCCTTGAAAAAGGTCAGGATAAAGAAAAACACCGCTCCGGAGAGGTGATGAGGATACCCTCCAACATTGGCATCGGCCAAATGATGCGCTCCGTCTGGGCATTCACAGGACGGACATCGACGTCATGCGAAAGTCGTTCGCTTCGGGCTTCTTGACGATGAGCGGCGCAGAGCACCACATCGGCCGAGGGTTTCGGTAAACTAAAACTGCCGCTTGTAACTCTTCGACGTGCTTGACCATAAACTCGCACTGCTCTTTCGAGTAACGCCGCGCCTTGCATCGCATCGGTTCCGCGCCAGACGTTAACGTACTGTAACATTGAGAGGTGCCACGTCCACCGGCGGATCTCGGCCAAGTGACAGCCAAAACACATCTTCATATCGCAATAGCAGCGTTTACAGCGTTGTAGCAAACTCCTCGCCGCACCCTGCGGCACGACATTCGCTGATCTTCTCCTTCAGCTTCGCACGCACGACTTCTTGGTCAGTATCCTTCGACCAATCAGCACCAACTTCAGGGAAACATACCCGTTCTTCGTCAGGATTGAACGATACTTCTTCGGGAGACAAAGGAGGTTTCTCCTTCGTCTCGACCACCTTCATCGCCGCCATCAGCGGCGTTTCTTTGTCGCCCAATCGGTCCAGATCGTACACACTTTGGGCACCCGCGCATTCAGTAACAACGAACGCGGACAATATCCTAGCTTCTCCATCACGTCGCGGCTCACACTGAGGTCGCCCATACCTTCATATAATGGCGTCGCCGCCACCCAACACTTGAGGTTCGCTAACACAAGGGTACCTTCGGCCGTTTCGAAGGTCAGTCATAGATTGACGTCGCGGTCCACTTGGAGCTTCATGCCTTCGAGGAAACCGCCCAGCACGATGGCGGTGTCCAACTGTCGGACCGCCGACGTAAAATTACCAGTCGTTTCGAGACGTGATACAAACGTCAGCGACAGCGCAAATTGGTCGGCACCACTGTCTAGTAGCGTCGTCGCCTTGAGTCCGTTGATAGCGCATTCTAACGTGCGCAGTACCGGCACCACCGTCGCTTCGTCCATATCGACGGCCGCGCCCACCACCTTAGGCTTGACCTCGCCTCTCCTGTCCGGCACTGCCACAGCCGCGACTTGCGGCTTCTTGAACCGCTGATCCAAGCGGCGCTGAGCCTCGCCCGGCAGGCACTTCGGGCAGTTCAGGACCTTGTGGTCTTCGCTACCACACTTCTAACAGTCCTTCGTATGCGGGACGACAGATGCAGGCCTTGCTGGAGGCCGGGGTTGCGCGCCAGGTTCCGCTTTCTTGGCCGCTGCTGGCGAAGTTGTTTATCGCCATACAGACGCTGCCGATTCGGATTATTTTTTGGATCCGACACAAACAATTGCGACTCAAACATCATGAAATTATCGAGTAACGACACCAGCCGCCGACAAAACGCCTTGACGTCGGTCTTGTACGCTTTGTTAACCTCGCGCGTCAGTTGACGCTCGACGGTTGCCTTCAATTGCACCGGACGAATCGTCGCCATCAGGATCTTGACCGACTGCTTCGGCCCCTGCTCCGACTGGTGGGCCACGTCCAGCTGCTCTAACTTCTCGTAGAAATCGGCGAGCAGACGTCCAACTCGGGACTCCGCATCCCGAATCTTCGTGTCCATCTTGAGCGACGCAATCTCTTTCGCCACAGCATCCAGATCCAACTCATGGACTTCACGCGCCGATAAAATGTAATCCCATCAGTCGTTTTCGGTAATTTCTGCAAACGACTTGTCGTGCGCACAGACACGCGACACGATATTCTGATCGATGCATGCTGCCAGAGGCATTAGGAAAAGCGTACCGCCAACACCGCGGTTAAGCACTTCCACACGCCGCGAGTAAGCGAGATATACATCCATAAACTCGCA